ATTACCTTTAATAGGTATAAAAGACATTCAGCACTTTCTGGACTCCAGCTACTAACTGCAGGGAGGGATCTCACTACTGACTAGGAACAATAAATTGCGTAAATTGAAATGGCAGCACCATCCCTCATCGTTTAGTCTAGTTATAGAAAAGTAAATGTAGATGAAAGGGTTCAATAATTCTTTTGAATATGAGAATTGCCATATAAGATGCAGCCAATGACAAATCTGTTACATTTTCTGTGAGCATTCAGATAAGAACTTCAAGGAATGGTATAAAAATTTCAGCTTATGGATAGCTTTGGCATAATTTCTCCTTTGAGAGAATGTTACTTTTTGCATTCCACATGAAGTTTGAAAGGTTGTACTCAAAAGACTAGTATTAGATCCAAAACTGAGCAATAGTTGGTCAGGCTGAAAAAAATTCAGACATGCTTGTACAAGGATTTCTTGTGCAGCTTCTGCTGAGACAATGGGAGTTCTACAAATGAAAGGTGTGTAGGGTGGAGCCCTTCTCCCCGCCCCCCCCCCCCCCCCCCCCCAATCCCCCCCCCCCCCAAGGCCACCAAAAAAGTGATTCTGGTCTCACTTATAATTTTAAACAAAATCAGATTGACCATCATTATGCTGTTGCTAACATAAACCTTGTTTCTTGTATGACTAAATTCCCAATAGGCAAACACCATCTGCCTGTTGAAGGAAAAGTCACCACTGAGACAATGTCTAACTCATTAGGAGTTGAGAAACATCAAGTCTACTACAAAAGCTGCGTCACAGTATCCTTAGAAATCTCTAACTCCACATTCAGTGCATTTGTTTGTTGAAGTTCTTATTTTGATATTGAAGAAATTTTCCCGTATTAAACTGAAGAGTTTTCAAACAAAGAGCTTTTCTCCAGAACCAAATTCAAATCAGGTACTACTGCGTGAAATTTTACTAACTTTCTTGAAACAGTATATGGTCTTGGAAAATTATCTTACAGCTAAGAACCCGGAAATTCAGATTGTGATAGAGCAACGTAAGTAATAGTGGCACATCAGTTTACCCTTGCAGGAATAATGAGTATTGTTTACTGCTGTAAAATGTTTCTTAAGTGGTATTTCTCCACAATATCGATAGGAACTTAGCGAAAGCTGTGGCTTTTTTTTTCAGGCATTATAAGTTTTGGCAAGTTCTAAAAGTCACATCTTTGCTTTGGATTTTATTCGTGTAAATATAAACATACACTTTTTTGAAAGTTATTTTATCTGAAATAATAGTGTCTACTCTCTGGTTTAGTAAAGTACTGTAATTTTGGAAGTTAACTCTTTTTTTCATCCTGTTCTAGAAGGATACTAAAATTTTATAAACCAGACAAAAACCAATGAATAGCACACAAAGGAGCTAAGTCAGCTACATTGAAGTACGTGTAAAAGTATGTTTCTGTTGCAGAATACAGCTACTTCCTAGCAGAACTGCACAGTCATTTCAATAGCTATGAAAGGTGGATATTTCTTCTTGACTGGTGTCAGATCCATAGGCATGGAAAGTCATCGCCTGGGGAGAGGCGAGCAGCAGTAGGGTTCTGCAGAAGAGCTGTCCAACGCCAGTTGTGGTGCCTTCTGTTTTCTTCAGCATCTCCTAAGTGAGAAGCGCCACGCTGAGCTGCCTTGGATACCTTCTGAGATCTTAAGTATAACTGGAGCGTGTGTGATTTTTGAGTCTCATCAGAGAAGTAGAACTTTTCTTTAAGTACTGACTGTGCAACATCTGTAAGCAATTTCTACCTGACAGCACTGATCATTATCTGAAAAGCGCAGCGGGTATGCAGCTTAGCCACTCTTAACCATGTACTCAGATTGATTTACAGTATTTGTGATTTGATATTTTGCTAGCTTTTTATAGTAGTATGGGTCCATGAAAGAACAACAATCTGTTAGCAAAACATGTGGTGGTGTTATAGGTGGGTATCTCTGATTCATGATGCTGGAGCAAACGAATGCTTTAGTACAACCCCATTGTTAGTTGTCAGCGTGAATGTATATTCATCTTGATGTTTCTGAGCCAGTATTTCCAGCAGAAACTGAGAGGTCTGTATTTGACCATTAAAACTGAGAGCAAAATTGCAAAGGACTACATGGAAGTAGGAAATTAAAGCATACAGTACTATGTGCAACCATGAAACAATTTCCAGAGATGTCCATGGCAACTAAAAGTCATAACTTTATGGGATAACAAAAATCTCAATAGAGATCTCAGTAGAATATTGGCTTTATGGCAAATTGTAATTCCTCTCCCTTCTCCTCACCTAACCTTTTCATGTTCCATGGGCTATAAATTACAGATCTCTTTCTTTCCATTAGAAGATAAGCACCTTATCACCTCTCCTCTTTTCTAACATCCTTATCACTCCACAGGCAGCAAACATCTTTACTCTCAGGTGGTCTAATTGATACATATCTAATTAAAGACGAAGCATTTTTTTCTCAACCTCCATTCAGCTTTGAAGTATGTTGCTTTGATTTTAGCCCTGAAGAACAGCTTCATGTGCCTGAAAGTTCTCTTTTTTCCAACTGTACTAGTTGATTAAATAAAATATACTACCTCTGTCCACAGACTTCGCCTTGCCTGTGTACCAGTGCATTCATTTATTGTTAGTGAAAAAGAGAAGACAATTTTTCATGGCACTAGTTAAAAGGTATGTGTGAGGACTGCAGCTCTTCAGAGCCTTGAAGATTAGGACAAAATGTTCAAATATGATGAGACAGAGAAGAAAAGGATTCGGTAGAGACTAAGGTAGATAACTGGATTAGCAAGAGAAATAATTTTAGGGCTTATCTCTTAAATCGGGACATTTTGTGTGAAAGAGATACCAGAGATGAGAAAGCTGAATATATAGGCAGGAGATAGCGCCAGCATCAAATTGTTTAAAGAGCGTTATTCTAGTTATCATTTTACTGAATGTCTTAGGGACGTTTCTATGTGGTGAGAGTAGATTCTCCAAAGTTATACAGGGTATAAAGAGAAAGAATGATCATTCTAATTAAAAAAAAAAAAAAGAGGCCATCAATTCTTACCAATTAAGAGGAGAAAGGAGAGGAAGAAACATTATGTGCATAACACTGAAATTTCCAGGCACCTCTAAGTTGCATAGCCAGCACTCATGCAGAGATTTACTGATTTTTATTTTTTTTTCCAAATGTTATAAGGGTCACATTGTCACAATTACTTGACCTGACCCGTATGACACTTGCTGGTTTTATGACAACTGTATTTTTTCTGCTCTCCCCACCCCCCACCCCCGTCCTCTTTTTCACTAGTTCCAACAATTTCAAGAGTGGGTTCTTCACTGTGAGGAGATATTTGAAGAAAGGTAATGGGGGAAAAAAAATCTACTGAAATTACCTAATTAGATTAGAGGAAAAGAAAATAGATCCAAGGTATCTCATCCCCCCCCCCTTTGCCCTTAAAGAACCTTTTTATAAACTTGAGGCATTCTTAGTACTTTGGAATTATCAGCTGAAAGGCACTTTTTTGATGCAAATCATTTGCTTCACTGTTGTAGTGTATGGCTGGCAAGGAAGTAGGAGGTGTCCATTCAGCGCTAGGAGAAGGGAGATCCCTGTCCCCTAAGCGAATGATCCTGCAAGATGCAAGTTCTAAATTTTTTACCTCCTTGAGGCCTGCCTGCTGCAGGGGAATGAGATGGGGTTATGTGGAATTTAAAGAACTTCTGTAGGGAGCCCTCTGTGATCCTACTCCTTATCATTTTGTTTAGTAAGACTCTTGTTGGCAGTTGCTAATAAGGTCTGTGATGGTTTGGGTTTTTTTCCCCAGCTAATTGCTCTTTTGATTTGGGCTTTTTGGCCTTTTTAAAGTCTGTGATAGGATTGCTGTTTATAATATGTAATAACCACAAGAATCTCGTAGAGTTTTCTGAGGTCAGACTGTCACTATGCTTTTGTTTGCTTATGCTGAGCTAGTACTTGGCAGCTTGTGTAGTAGCTCAGCCATTCTCTAAATTAACAGGTTGTTCTTTGTATTTGAAGTGATTGATGTGATTGAAGTGACTAGCATGTATATGCCTACATAAATTACTTTGGGGGAGAGAGGGATCCAAATGGCGGAAACTGGATAGATCCAAAAACAGTTTGTTGTAAGAACCATCGTATGTTGAAGAATGTGAAAAGGACTTAAGTGAGAATAAAATCTCAGACCAGAAAGATGTATGGGAAAGTACAATTTTACTCTAAAATCTTTGCTAATGGAGGTTCAGGGATGTAGATTTTGTTGTATTTCTCTGGAGGCAAAAGCCCTGGTGCAGATGCAGACATATTGAGAAAAAAATCAATTGCCAGTACAATAATTTATTTTTCTGTGATAGCAATGTTGGGTCAACCCTTCTGGGCTTTGGCTTCCTAAGCAACTTGAGAGCCTATAGAAAAAGGATCATTTAACTGCTTAAATTCATTTTAACAATATTGCCAAATCGTTTGTCTCAAACTTCTTTTTCAAAGGACTTAGAGTCTATATGGGTTTTTTCTTAAGAGCTGGCGCTCCTATTTCTGTGAATCAGCAATAGTTCTCCTGAGTCTTTTTGCAGGGCTTCATTATTCGGCATCGTGTTGGCATGACAGGAGAATCCTGTGTCCCATAGAATTTTTAGAGCTCACCTGCTGTTTAAAATCCCCTTGCATGTCAGCATGTGGGAGCAGTAGATCAGTTGTTTATTTGTGCTTAACTTACATACTTACAAATACGGTCTAAAAACAAAGGACTGGCCTGATTCTTTACATCTGTATACACACAGTTTTTATTATTTTTTTCTGCAAGTGATGCCTTGGACTTAATAAGGTAATGGGAGGACCCCGACTCATAGGTCTAAATGAAGCTGCAAAATACTGGTTTTCACCCTTGAACTACCTTTTATTTGCACATACCGCTATATCATTGTATGACATTGGCTTTTGAATACACGTGTATTGCATAAAGCTAATACATTGTTCTTGATTTTTGCTTTGCAGTACAGAATTGGACAGCTGTACATGATAAGCAAGCATAGCCATGAGCAGAGTGACCGAGGTGAAGGTGTGGAAGTGGTGCAGAATGAACCCTATGAAGACCCAAACCATGGCAATGGTCAGCTAACAGAAAAACGCGTCTATCTCAACAGGCGAGTGCAATAAAACTGTTTCTCTCAGCATGGGCTGTAATAAAAATTTGCAAGGAAGATCCCTTCCAGGCAATAGCCTTTCTGTTTCAGGTAGAACGTGTTCCCATGAATGCATGCCGCTTCCTGGTAGCCGCAAGAAGAAGGAAGGTGAGATAGATCAGTGGCTTGAAATAGAGGGATTAGTTGTCATTTCTTCTAGAGTATCTTTTCTAAGAGAAAGAATTAGAACTTGAAGTTAAGGATGTACTGAAAATCAGAACTTTTGTTTTCTTTTACACTTAACTAATTGTCATTCTGTTTTCCAAAACTGGGGGGGAGAACCAAAACACTAAAACCCAAAACCAACAAACACCCTGCCCCCCCCAAAAAAACCCAAACCACTAAAATGATTTAAGGGTTTCTCACCTCATAATAACGTCACAAAGCCAGTATCCCATTTTTGGTGACAAGAGATTTGCCTCAGCAAAGTTAATTGACATTGTGAATGACCAGGAGGCTTGTACAGTGATGACCTTCTGCACCAAAATAATAGGCTTAGAGACATGATGGAAAAATTGCTTTTGTTTCCCCGAAGTTCCATCATTTCTTAAAGCGAAATACATGTCTCTTCCTACGGTGCAATTATACTGCTGAGGATCAATGCCTCAGCCTGACACTCAAAGGCCAGAGATGTTCAAATATATATATATTTGTGTCCTATGAAATATATTGCTCAATCTGTTCCTGTTTTTACTACTGCTGATCTAATTGAATATCACTGCTTTTCTGAAGTTCTTCTATTCCCCTGTGCCTCCCTGTTTCATTTTTTAAGCTTATGCTCTGCAGCATTTCATAGTGGGCAAAGAAACACTATAGCTATTGCTTCTACATTGCAAGTTACTCCTCCACTGCAATCCTGACATATCTAACCTTAACTCAGGCTAAATTGAATCGCCAGTAATGCTGCGCACACACACACGAGTCCAATAATATATGTCTTGCCAACATTTAATATTATTGTGAGAGTAACTCTGTTCTCTCGCAGGCTAGATACAGGACTTGGGAAAAATCAATAAATGTGTTTCTGTTGTAGAGCTCCCAGAAGTTGTGGGGTTTTTTAATGTTTCTGGATATTTCTTTCCTTCATGTTAAAAAGAGATAAGGCTTTAAGCACTGAAGAGTATATTCAGAATTACCACTTTAGGGTAATTCAGAACAGCCGCAAGGACTGTGTCCTAGAAAGCATGTACAAGGCATTCTTGGGAAGCATGTAGTTTCTTGTAGTGCATGCAGGCAATGGAACAAAGGATCTCTCACCCAAAGACGGGTACCGACATTGACAAAGGGTATCTGTGTGCCTACAACAACTTGGGAAGTTTACCTAAAGCTATGGTGGATGTTTGAAGTCAGGCTCACTGAGTTTAATGATAATTATGAATACTCCTTGATAATCCATCACCAGATTTGCTATTTGAATCTGGGTTTTGTGTCACAATACCACCAGATATTGCAGTACTATTAAAGTTTTGTGGAAAGGATCAGCAGGTTTTCAGGCAACTATGGATTTTGCTGGGAGGCCAGGATCTCTCTGGAAGACTTCACCCAAGGAGACATGCTGCCATACAAGATGTGCTGAAAACTTCTCCTCTGCCTGCCTTCCTTGAGGAACAGGACTCCTTAGACCAGCACAGTTCTCTCCCTCATCTGTTCATCTTCCAGGGTCCACCGCCCTAATAAACTTGCTAGCTTTGCTTCACTTTATTTTGCTCTGGACTGATCTCTCCTGAAGAAAATTGAGCTTATATATTCAGTGATGGTTTCTTGGAAAGATTTGTGCATTATTTTCATTTATCTTTTCTTGCCTGATAAAACTTTAATTCTTGCAGAGGATCTTCTTGCTTACCAGTGGTTTCAGCTGGAATGCCTTTAAGAAACACTTCCTCCCTATGTACTGAAAGACTGAACTTCATCTGTGGAAGGAAGAAATTAAAAAAAAAAAAAAATGTGATGCATAGATACCTGTGCTGCTAAAATAGAAATACTGGATTTTCTTTCTCTGAATGGACCCTTGGAGCAATTCATGTGTGTCAATGACCATAACTTGCTGGAAACTCTGAGTATAATCTGTGTTTTGCTCATAAAATTACTATTTGTTTTGGAGATGTGCTGTACCGGCAAAGATAGGTAGACAGGCAAATATGCTAAAAACAACAATAACCAAAAATGTGCAAAATGAGCAGCTGTATGTTAACAAATACATTACTAGCAAAATTTTCTAGTGTTAGTGTAAGCCTTAGTTATGTTCAGAATTGTTTACTGCTGCTTCTCTCCTGCTGGAGCATTGTTTTCAGAAGCTGAAAGTCTGCATCCTCTGGTATTTATTTTTTAGGCATCAGAGTAAAATTTAGCAGGGGTAAGGGTGGGAGCAGAGAGGTAGTCATAAAAAGACACTGACAGAGGCTGACAAAACAAGATCTGCTACAGTGAAGTCTATTATGCAGTATGTAAAATGCTGCTTAAAAGACTACACAAGAAAGGTTTAAGTAAAGAAAAGAATCTGGTTTTGAGCAATGTCATCAAAGAGCAAAAGTCAGTGCACTTGACTTTGAATCTTTAGATAATGTACTAACATCTGCATTTTGCCTCTGGACAAATACAATATTTATGTGTAGCTAGATCGTAGTTAAATACTCCTTAATGATCCAAACTCTGAATTTTCCTCAGAAATTTACAAATATGGGAAGTTAATTTACTTTCTTCACCCAGTTACCTAAACATAACTGTTTCAAACATTTACACTTGGAAAACTGAGGTTTGAAAGCATCTACTTTAGTTCAGTAAAGATCCAGTCTTAGGCTGGGTGATCTGCTTGACACATCGCCAGACTAACACAATTTTAACTGTCTCTCTGAAGTAGGGTGATGTTTGTGGTCTCCAAAGGTCTGCCTTCCTTTGAGCAACTAGTACTGCATCTTCGTTACTGGCAGCTTCCGTGATTATAATTGATGTCATTAAGAAAGGGTTGAAAGATGAATTCTCATGAACTTGCCTTCTTTTTAAAATGTATGTTTGTTCATCACTTCTTTGGTACCCTGAATGACCAGAGTTCTGGAAATGAGAGGACCGAGATCCATGGTAAAGAAAATGCTCCCACTCTTCCATAGTATTATTTAATTACCCTCTAGCGATCTTTCCATATGCTGTATCCACATCTTTCATTTCTTACTCTACTGCTGTTGTACCACCGCATTGGTAAGTTCTCTCGACAGATTGAGCTCTGAGCTATGACACCAGTTCCATTAATTCTCTTCACTTTTGTGATTTACTTTTCCCATCAGCAAAATGGGACTAATGCTACCCACCAGCCTCACAGAGGTGTTTTGAGTGATTTGTTAATTTTAATATAAAAGCTTCCTACTCAAGAGTTGGTGTTGGTAGCGTGGGAAAAACTGCGCGCTCGGTGAGTTGAACGTAAGGGTTTGTGTGCCGGCAGAGAATATGGAGGAAGAAGAAATAGTCTCTAAGAAGAAATAATGGGGTTGGGATCAAAGTGGACTGAAATCACATCTTTACTCATGACCTCTTGTTAGAGAGTGCCTCCCTGTGGTTAAGAACACTGTGACACAGATACACCTTGTATGGTCTAACCTGCTGAGTTCATCCGTGACCAAAGGTTTGAGGCCATAAATTCTTGAAATCTGCAACATCAATTTAAATCTGATCGGAGTTTATTACAGTGGCACCATGTTGTTCGCTTCGAGAGGGGAGCAAACAGACTTGGTTTCATATATGCTTGTGGAGAAAGCTGAGACAGAATGCATAGTCATGAGATGAAAATACTGTTGTGAAGTCTAGGTATTGCTGTATCCTGTGAAATACCTGTCAAAGTACGAGCATGTTTTGTAGAAGAGAAGATACTTCCGTACTCATAAGTCATAACTTATTCTAATTTTATATTTTCTTTTTATTTCCAGCAAACTGCCTAGCTGGGCTAGAGCAGTTGTTCCCAAAATATTTTATGTTACAGAGAAGGCTTGGAATTATTATCCTTATACAATCACAGGTAAGGAATAAAGCAGAAATGATTACTGACTTGTACTTTTTGGATAGTTAGCTTATCTTCAGAAGCTCCAAGTTACATATTGAACCACAGATGCCAAGTTACTTTAACAACTCCTGTTGAACTGCATATATTTTTCCATCTTATATTGACTGATATCGGGAAATAAAGATTATAGACTATGGATAGGTAAAAACTGGAGTGTTGTATCTATGCAGTTTCTTCCTTGCAAAGAAAACGTCAGGTGCTTAGATTCTGTGCTGACTTGTACCCTTTATTGTTCCATAGACGTTAGTCAAATATAAATCAGCAGATTATCTGACACAATTTTTTTTTTTATTATTAATGTATGTTTACTGTAAGGATCTTGCATCATTGTTTTATTTCACATTTCTTTTTTTTTTCTTTTCCCTCATCATTCTTTTTTTTACAAATGGACAATTGGAAATCAGAATACACAGTAAGTTTTTCTTCCTCTTTTTATTCTAAAAATAGAATAATTATGTGAAATATAGTAGCAGAATCCAAACTGATTCCTTCTTAATATAACTAATACATAATGCATTCAATAGTGGAACTTTATTTTAGCTATTTGTTTAAGAAATTTAAGGTTAAATTTGAAGTGTTTCTGTGGAGATCCTATAAATTATTTACCTTATTTTTTATCACTTCAAAATAATTTGATATATTTTTAGTCACTGCCTGTAACAAAGAGAAGCTTCTATAAAACAGGGCAAGGCTTTTAAGGTTCCAGTTATTACGTGGAGACATGAGAACAGATTTTATTTTATTTATTGTTTTATTAACTTATAAAATGCTCATCTCTGGTATAGTATCTGGGAAACTGTACAATCTGTAGACAAAATTAAACATCATCTGGGCACAGTGCCCAGAAAAATCAGCTATTCCCTCTAGCAGAGCTAAGGCAAAATATAGCACATAAATCATGAGAAAAATTGTTTTAAATGTGCTGGCCTCAATAATCCACAGCAAGTTTTCAGCAGCCTTTGGAAGATGAGGAGGAGATGGTGAGGAAGTTCCAGGTGAAGGGACCTTTCAGAAACTCCGGCCTTGATTTAGTTTGAACTTCTGACTGTAGATAAAACATAATCCACTCGTTTTTCTTAACTCTGCAGTGCTCAAAATGTTTGTGCAGTTTTTTTTTTTTTAAACCAGTAAAGAATATAGAGAGGAAAAAAGATCTTAATGTGATAAATGTGAAAGAGAAAAAATAAAGGGATTTAAAGGCTCAGATCTGAAAGCTGGAGACTTAGAGTTGAAACTTTGATGACCAGGTTTGAAAATCCAAAGTACCAGACGGAGCTTTTCAATATGTATTCAATACTTATTACATATTCTGCTTTGTTTCATGTTTAAAATTCATTTGATTGTCAGAGGAAACCCAAATATCCCATAATGGGCAGTAGTAATGAGGGGACAGATTCTCAGCTATTTTTGTCAGAAGATATCTTCAATAGGGCCTATCACAGTTGACATTAGTTAAGGGTTTACCCTTTGAGAGCAGGTTTAATCTTAGGCTGGGAAGATGATGTGCTATGTTGCATTGATGTCTGTTACTTACACTGTTGTATATTTTTTTCTTCAACTGAAAGTCACTTGGAATTCTTTAATGTGATTTTTTTTTTCTTTAACTGAAAGAGACAAGTAGGAATGATTAAAGGGGTGGTAGCAGACAAAAATATATGTCTGAATTTGAAATGCAATACATTATCAAAACCAAACAGCAATGCTGTACTCACGGGATTTGAATCAGGAGGTGATCTTTATCTAATCTGATGAGACAACACCTGGAACACATTTCGGTGAAGGAATACAGCTAAGGAGATGCTCAAGAGCATCAGCAAAAATGATTGCAGGGTTGAAGAGGTTTGTAAAGAAAAACTAAATGGGTCTACAGATGTAGAACATAGGCAAAACAGTCACTAAGTGACAGTATAACTGCCTATGGGAGTTGGGGACTAATTACTCACCATGGTGCAAGGAAACAGAACTAGAAACATTGGGATGAGATTAAGGAAACTAGACTTCAGACAGAAATCCAAAATATGTTTTAATGGAGCTGATAGACTATGAAATTATCTTCAAGGGAAATAGAAAAAGTGCCTTTGCCTCAAACTCTTGAATCCAGAATAAAAATATACCACTGGGAATAATTCCTATCCTTGTCTGGAATATTTCTCTAAATTTTGATCTTCTATATTCATTAGAGAATTCTGAAAGAAAGAATAAACCCACAGACATTGCCCAAAATATGTAAGATAGCTTGGAAACCCTTTTCTTAAAGATAGTGAATTCCCTCCAAAGGGTCTGTGGGACATCCTAATGATTAAACAGTCTTAAGGTTTTTCAGCTGTAAAATATGAAGGCTGTTGAGAAATTGCATTCAAGCACATACACTAGCATTCAGAGATTCAATGCAGAATAATTTCATCAATCTGATTTTCCTGTGAAATATTATGGATTTCATAAATACAACCTTCTTAAGGACCTGAAATTAGGACATCTAAGAAAAAAAGGCTCAGCAGGCATTGAAAATAATTTCCAGAATATTGTTCTCTGCCATGGTAGTATAAAAAGCCAAGAGTGATTGGATGCATGAAAACAGGAACGGAAATCAGAGTGTCATGATGTTAGTACTCTATAATCTGGGTTCAGTTATGATGGCATCTGCTTTAAGGAATGGTATTTGTTACACAGCAAACCCCTAAATTTGACAGCAAACAGCAGGAGCTGACTACTTGGTCTACTACCAAGTCTCGACAACTATATTAATAATATGTAAAGCAAATGACACACTTAAGCTCATTATCTTAACAGAACTATTGCACAAGCAATGCTTTTGTGGTGTGTAATATGTGAAACAGTGTAATGTCAGGAGAGCGTTTTAAAATGTACACTACGCTGTTTGTGGAGGAGGCCTCGTTAAAACTGCGATACAAAAGACTTCCTGTCAGGAAGACGAGACACGGGTACTGTCCCAAGAAATGCTGTATCAAAGCTTGAGCTAATCCTAGCAAGCTTCCTGCTGCCATTGAGAGGGAGGAGGAAGTAGAAGAAGTACTTTCGAAGCTGAAGCCAAAGGAAGTCGTCCAGATTTGGGGGTACTATTTGGAGAATAAGATACTCCTATAAAGTCCAAACCCTTGTTTTAGTGGCTGGGGCATTACTTAAGAACTGTAGGTGAGAAAGCCTCTTAAACTTAGAACAGGAGTTGCTTTGGTTTTGATCTTGTAGTAGAAACCTGACAAGATACATTTATAAGTTCATTTAATATTGTGATTAGGTTGATGCTAAGCTCATAAATTTGGGATACTGTATTTGGGATACAGCTGAACGGGAGCCTCACAGAAGTAACTCGCAGGGACTCTGCTCTATGAGCAATTACAGGACTTGGGTTCTGGTGAGTGCCACCTGTCAAGCTAAACTTGGTGTTGGGGAATGGGTGTTGCTAGCTGCTGGCTCTTAGAAAGAATTCCTTTGCTAGTCACAGGCTGGAACCTTTTTCGCTTGGAGGATGGAGGAAAGGTGCCTTGCAGCTCTCAACAAACCCCTATGTGCCAGCTTACCACAGCATTTGCAAATACGTCTCTTAGTGTAAAATATTTATGCTATTCTTAGATATGTGGACAAGAATGACTGAACTCTCAGGAGGCTTTCTTATTTTTCTTTCTGAGGTTGTCCAGCTAGATTAGAAATAATTAACTAGAAGCAAACCTGTCTCTATTGCAAACCAAATGAAAAAGGATTGCGTAGAACTAAGTTTCTTTACATGCAGCAGGATATTGTCAGACAATAAGCAGCACAGAGCAAATATCCATTTGACCTGTTCAAGTGACAGTTGAGATTCTGGACAAAAAGAGAGGAGCCTCAAGCAAACAAATAATCACATCACGAACATACGGTGACTCAACCGTGGTACAAAAAATTCCTATGATCAAAGTACACTGAAAATGAGCCTAACAAAGTTTCGCTCTCAAGTTGGAGTACAAAGAGGTTAGGAAAAATACAAACAGAAGTTAAGCAAACTCTTCTGACTTTGAAGGTGCAGTTCAGGTGTCTACCAGGGATAATTTCAAATAGTTTTGCTCTCTGATCTGAACAGCTCCGGTGTAGTTAACAGTATTTCAATTCTGGGGCTGAAATTTAAAAATGGATGGATAATTTTTGTATGCATAATCTATGGCCAATTGTTAGTTTCACAATTATAAGTATATAAAGCAAAATAAAGATTAAAAATAGCATGTTTTACTCTCTGCAAGGAGGAAGAGCATTCTTTCAACCTGCCAGTGTCTCAAATTAACTTAGGAATAGGACATAAATTCAGAATATTTATGAAAAACAGTTATGGAACAGAAAGCAGGAGACAACGATTCCTTTGATGATATATCACAATGACGCTAATTCTTCTACAGCAAATGACTGAGGCAAATAAAATTGTTTCATCTGGTATGTGTCAAGGCCTCAGAGTCATAGTTGCTAAATGTTCCATTATTGACCTGCTGGTTTCTGATTACTTTTGAGAACAGGCATGTTATGTGCTTCACTTAGTTAGCTGCCAGTTTGTCCATGAAGTAAATTATCTGGAAGGAATGCTTTTGTAATTGTTATTTTTATGATCAGATGACTTGGGAAGGAAAACAAGTTGTTTCAGATAAACATTGCAAGGAATCTGTAGAGTTTTTTTCCTGTGTTCTCCTATCTGATTACCAGTGCTTGAAATTTGGATGTAACCCATCAGTCTTCAGTGCACAACTTTTCTCCATCTTGAGTATATGAAGGGTCTGCATCAAAAATGCAACAGAATCTGTATTGCAGGATTAGAGCCTAATACAAAGTTACAACCAAAATTCCTCCCCTCTCACCCCCAACTTAGAAGACAGGCTAACTGGTGACATCTCTCTAATAAAACACAGATTTGGTTCCTTTAGAGATTCCAGCAAAAGGAAGGACCTCTGTAGTATTTATAAGAAACAAATAATATATTTTCAGAAAGCTTGCAAACCTGTTTTCTCATTTAATAGCTTAATCCCATTGAAACAGAGTAAATCAAACTGCTTGGGAGAACTCCCTTTTTCCACCACTGGCTTATTTAAAGCAATCCAAACCCCTCTCTGATTCATGGGACTGTCATTTTCGCTTGGGCATGCTGCTGCTTACTTCTGTTCTTCCTCAATAAACAGGTTACTGTTCCCATGTATCAGAGAAGGAGATCCTAAGGGAAGGCAAAAACCAGAGATAAGCGCCGAGTTTCATAGTGGTTGGAGGCAACTTGTTAGTTGACTGTTTCATCTTCAAGTTATTGTATGTAATACAAACAAATAGTGGTTTTCTTCCTGAGCTTGTTTATGAGAGTTTAACTCCCTTGCTTATTCTCAAGCCCTTTTTTTGCATTGTTCCTACTCTTTCCGCTCAACAGCGCTTTTTCTGCTCTTTGCCACC